AATTCCTGACCTCATGATCCACCTGTCTGGGCATCCCAAAGTGCTGGGATTACAGGCTTGAGCCACTGCTCCTGGCTCCTTTTCTTTTTTAGCTATCCCTTAAATCTTGGCCCCATCCTGGTAGTGCATGTCAAGGTCAAAGCCATGAGGCTTGATATAGTTTGGATGTCTCCAAATCTCACATTGAAACATAATCCCAGTGTTGAAGGTGGGGCCTGGTGGGAGGTGATTGGGTTGCCGGGGCAGACTCCTCGTGAATGGTTTAGCATCATCCCCTGGGTGATGAGTGAATTCTTGCTCTGAGTTGACTGAGATATAGTTCTTTAAAAGTGTGTGGCCATAGAGGGAAACAACAGACACTGGGGCTTATCTGGGGGTTGGTGAGTTGATGGTGGGAGGAGGGAGAAGATCAGGACAAATAACTATTGAGTTCTAGGCTTAATACCTGGGGGATGAAATAATTTGTACATCAAACCCCTGTGACATCAGTTTGCCTATGTAACAAACCCGAACATGTATTCCTGAACTTAAAAGTTTTTTTTTTAAAAAAAAGCATTTGGCACCACTCCCTTCCCTGTCTTGCTCCCACAGTTGCCATGCAATGCTCTTGCTTTCCATTTGCCTGCTGCCATGAATGTAGCTTCCTGAGGCCTCGCCAGAAGCCAAGCAGATGCCGGTGCCATGCTTCTTATACAGCCTGCAGAGCCACGAGCCAATAAATCCTCTTTGTAAATTACCCAGTCTTCGATATTCCTTTATAGCAATGCAAAGAATGGCCTAATACAGGGCCCTTCCTTCCTTGCTTCAGCCTGAAAGAGCAGGAATGGAGCCTTATAATCTTCTGAAGTTTGGGCTTTTTGGACTCTTCCATTTGGAACACTGCAAGATATCCATGAGAGCAGCATGTTGATGTATTATTTTGCTTACAATACTTCTGCTTTGAAAGAGACTGTGTTTTCTTCCTGCTTTTTATTAGGAGTAAGGAGAGCAAGTAGTAATGAGGGATAATGAGGAGCAAAAGCCCATTCTGACATCCATAATGTCGTTTGCAGCAATCTTATGAAGCAGGCAGTAGTATGTTTATTTTACAGATGAGAAAATTGAAGTTTAGATAGGTGAAGTGCCCTGCCCAGAATAATGACTGAGTGGGTTCCTAGACCTGTGACCCCAAATCTTGTGCTCAGAAACAGTGCTGGCTTTTTTTTTTTTTTGAGATGAAGTTTTGCTTCTGTTGCCCAGGCTGGAGTACAGTGGCATGATCTCGGCTCACTGCAACCTCCACCTCCTGGGTTCAAGTGATTCTCCTGCTTCAGCCTCCCTAGCAGCTGGGATTACCAGGAGCCTGCCACCACATCTGGCTAATTTTTGTGTTTTTAGTAGAGATGGGGTTTCACCATGTTGGCCAGGCTATAAGACTGAATTCAGTTTTTGGTAGAAGGTGGGGCTACCGTGTGTGCAAGGGAGGATCCAATGGGAACACAGGCTTGGGGGGCTCTGGAGGCTGAATGAGAAAACCTGCGAGATGGCAGGTGGCCATGTGGTATGCAGTGTAATCTCAAGATCTCCAAATCATTCACAAATGAATGAATGTACTAACTCTATGAAATACTTGGCTTGATCGATTTTTTTTTTTTTTTGAGAAGCAGTTTTGCTCTTGTTGCCCAGGCTGGAGTGCATTGAGGCAGAAGGTGAAAGGGTTGGAGTCACAGAAACTGTAGTCCAGAGAAAATAAGGTTGGAAGGAGCCCCTTTTGCCATCTGAGTTATAGAGGGATTGGCAGCTAAGGATCAAAAAGCTCAGATGCTGTCCAGGAGACAGCAGACCGATTGCCTGTTCCCTCAATGAAAACATGAAGGTCTGTTCCCATCTATCTCCGGTTGAGCCTCATAGCAACACTGGGAGGAGGAACCTACCCCCTTGTCACTCTGTACTCGACTATGCTAGACTACCTGTAGGTCCCAGGACACCATCACACCTTTTACCTCTGGGCCTTTGCACATGCTGTTCCTGCACTGAAAAGCAACTCTCCCCCGGGGAACTCCTAAGTATTCTTTAAGATGCAGTTCAGCCATCACTTTCTTCAGAAGACTTTCCTGACCTCCCAGCCTAGATAACTGTTGCCCCTGGGTTCCCACAACTTCCTGCACCTCCCTTTCTCAAAGGACCCATCTCACAGGTCTGAAAGCAATACAAGGCATGGTCTCTAAAGCTCAGTGCACGAGATAATCACACTAGGGTTGCAAAGAAACTGTCATAACTTCTATTTCTTTTTTTTTTTTTTTTTAAATCTCACCTTCTTCTGAAGCTAGACTGCATTTTTAGCCATGTGGCTGTAGCATGCTATTTAACTTCTCTATACTATAGTTTCCTTTTCTGTAACATGGGATAGTGTTAGATTCTCCCTCAAAAGGTTTTGGATATATTAAATGAGTTAATACATATAAAGAACTGAGAGGAGGACCTAATAACAAAGGAACATTGCAAATGCTCAAGAAAAGCTAGCTATTACAGGCGCATCTTTTTTTTTTTTTTCTTTGAGATGGAGTCTCACTCTGTTACCAGGCTGGAGCACAGTGGCGTGATCTAGGCTCACTGCAACCACTGCCTCCTGGGTTCAAGCGATTCTCCTGCCTCAGCCTCCCAAGTAGCTGGGACTACAGGTGACTGCCACCACGCCTGGCTAATTTTTTGTGTTTTAGTAGAGTTGAGGTGTCACCATGTTGGCCATGGTCTCAATCTCTTGACCTCGTGATCTGCCCACCTTGGCCTCCCAAAGTGCTGGGATTACAGGCGTGAGCCACCATGTACAGTGAGTCCAGTACAGAATTTATAAGTAAATAAATATACATATGTTGGGAGTGTGTGCTCAACTAAAAAACTCAAAAAGCTTTTACTCATGGGAGTGCTCTATTGTGAAAGTTTATAGAGATCAGGCCATGGGGTCAGAGACCAGCTTTGCTTCATCTCTGCATCCTTAGAGCCTACTGTCTGCCCAAATCAGAGAGAGTTCTGTTAGAAAAATGTGGACAGAATGCCTGCAAACCAAATCCTGATGGGTGCTGAAGCAGAGAGAACCTGGAACAGGTTCAGGCTCTGTTGCTTATTTCTACATGGCACTAAAGGGCTCTTGGCCTCTTGGGGCTTTCCTTAGTTTTCCTCTTCAGTAGAATGTCAGGCTTTGATTAGACAAAGGCTAAGGGAAACCGGAGAATAATTCGAGGCTGGATTTAGGGCGAGGCGCGCCCTCTTGTGTCCTAATGGTGTCCTCTCCTCTCTTTGCATACTCGCCTCTCTTCTTCCTCTTCAAGGCAGATGATGCTGAAATGGATGTCCTTACCTAACCCTGCAAAGCTGCCTCTTCGGCTTCAGATCCTGACACTCAAATGTCTGTGGCTCCCCTGACACCCACACTACTGCATTGTCCCTCCCCATCTCAAACCCTCCCCACTTCCACATATGGTCTCTTGCTTAAGCAGTTTGGGACCTTTGGAGTGATATGGCCAGGGGGTAACAAATCCCAGTCCTGGTACTTATTGGCTCTGTGATCTTGAGTAGGTCACAGTTCTCTAAGTCTCATTCCCTCTTTGTAAAGTGGAGTAAACAATACCAACCTCATAAGACTATTGTGAGACTTTAAGGAGTGTTTATAGGTTGCTATTATGTTTACTGAGTAAAACCACATGAGTTATTACTATAAATAAGTTGGAACATGTTTCAAAGAGAAGGAATTTGAACTGGGTCGTTGAAACTAAGATACAGAATTCCTCTATTTTAACACTAGCCAACATGCATTGAGCCCTTACCAGATGCTACTCATTGTCAATTTTCCCTAAGCCTCATAACCATCGATAGTAACAATAATAATAGCTAATGACTACGTATTTTATTATGTTTTTTACTTTTTCAAATAGAGACCAGGTCTCACTATCCTGCCCAGGCTGGTCTCAAACTCCTGAACCCAAGCAATCCTCTCGTTTCAGCCTCCCAGAATGCTGGGATTATGGGCATGAGCCACTGCACCTGAACTAGCTACTGATTATTAAACACTTTTTGTGTGCTAAACATGTGCATGCTCTTTACATACCTTCTCCCATTTATTTCTCTTAACAACCTTATCAGGTAGAGGCAATTATTATCATTCCCATTTTACAGATGAGAAAACTGAGGCATAAAGAAGCTAAGTAATTTGCCCACGGTTTCGCAACCAGCAAGTGGTAAGACCTGCACCCTTCATGTGAAAGTAAGAACTTTCACACACAAGCAGCTTGACTTCAGAGACCATGCTTTACCTAAATCGTCTCATTTAACCATCACAACACCCTGTGATGTAAGTTCTCTTGCATTTTATAGATGGAAAATCCAAAGACAAAATAAATGTAGTAATTTGTTCAAGGCCACACAGCTGGGAATTAGTTGAGTTGGGATTTGGATCCATGTCTGACTACAAAATCCACATTCTCAACACCATATTAGATTGCTCATGCCCCAAGTATTCACAGTGGTACAGAGCAACCGCATTTATATGAAGATTATCCTGTAATAATGATTAACATTCTTTCAACACCCACGAAGGCCAAGCTCTGTACTAACTGATTTACATAATAACAGCTAACAATCGCTGTGTATTATCAGGAGCCAGGCCCTGAGCTAATCGTTTTAGGTGTATTATCTCATCGAAGCCTCACAAAACCCGGTGACATGGATGCCATTATTACCCCCATTTTATGGTTGAAGAAAACGAGGTTTAGAATTCTTCCAAAGTCACACAGCTTAGCTGTAAGCCGGAAATTGAAACTACAACTGTCCAATTTTTTTCCTGCCTATCGGGCTGGTCACCTCTAGTCACTCTCTTTTTATTTCTTACTGTGTTTGCTTTATTTCACAGGGTCTGAGGCTCTCACTTCGCCCCCCTCAATAGAACCCGGCCCCCTTCTGCTCTAGTGCCTTCTCATTGGGCCGTGCTGTTATTCGGGAGCGTATGGAAAAGGCCTGGGTCGCCATGAGTCCCATCCCCATGTGTCGCCCCCTTTCCGATTTGTTCCAGTGCCGGGGTCCGTGAGAAGCTGACACATCTATTGGCTGACGACGTCTGAAAGGCAGCAAACGAAGGGGGGACGCCCACCGGCGCTAGCGCGGTTCATTCTGGGAATTGTGGTTTCAGACGTTCCATTCCTGGGGTGGCGCCGCTCGGACTCCGGGTCCCAGCATTCCCTGCTCGAGCCCGGGAGCACTTCCGCCCCGTTGTGAAGTGGGTGTCTCGGTGGGTGAGTCCGGGTGGCGGGGCGGGGGCAGCTGAGACGCAGGCTCTGGGCTGGAGACTTAGGAGGTGGTGGTGACATAGTGGGCTGGGGAAGGTGAGAGGGGAGAAAGAAGCTTATATGTGGGGGTGGAGGGTGAGGGGCGGTCAGAGGATGCAGCGGCTGGAGATGGGAAGGGTCATACAGGGGTCGGGGATGAGGAGGCGATAGAGGGCCCTGGGAATGTGGAGGGCCTTAGAAAGGTCTGAAGGTGAGGAGGTAGAGGGAGGTTTTGGAGGTGGGAGAGCCCTAGAAAGGTCTGGAGACCACAGAGGAAGGGATAGAGGGTCTGGGGCCCTGGCAAAAAGTGAAGAGGGCCTGAGCTTGAAGCCCGACCTTAAAAATAGTGTTTCAATCTCTATCTTCCCGTCCAGAACAAGCATATCTAATTTAATACCTCTCTAATGATTGTTACCTCTGGAACCCAGTGGATGGAACTGGCTCTCGTGTTCTGCCCCAAACCCGCACTTCTTTCCTATGCCTTATGGAAGTCAGTGGCATCGTCATCCCATTTACCTACCTATTTACCTACCTACCCTCTGATTCCTCTTGCATTCTTTCACGTCCAAGGATCTTCCAGTCTTTCCGTTTCTTTAATATATTTCAGTCGGCCTCTCTCTTGTAGGGTTTTTGCAGAAGCCTTTTCAGTTCCCCAGCATGAACACACACATTGTACCTGGTGTGATCTGTTTAACCTACAAATCTGATTATGCCTTCTGCCTGAAAACCTTCATTGGCTCCCATCACCTGTAGCGTTATGCCAAACACCTTGTCCTTCGTAAACTCCTTTTGCAGCCTAATCTTCATGCACCTCACACTCCAGGGCTGTCAAGTTTCTCCTCAATTCCTGAGTAGGCCATTTGGTTTTCCATTATTATATATGCTGTTCTCTCTGCTTAGAATATTTCTCCTTGCCTGTCACCTTTGCCAAGAGAACTACTTTAACTTAAAAAAACCAATTCAACTCTTATTTTGCTCAATTCCCTTAAGCAAATTAAGTCACCCCCAACCCCTGGCTCCCATAACTTCTCTTATTACCATATTTGATCATAATTATCTGTGGCTTGTGTGTCTCTTCCACTAGACTATGAGCATCTCCAGGACAGGGACAGTGTCTCCATCACCTCTGTTTCCCCATTGGCCAATCTAGAGCAGTAAACAGTTGATGTGAAGCAGTAAATACTTAATGTATGTGTGAATAAAGACCAAGCAGGGTAAGCTTTGCTAAACTAGCCTTGAAGACTGCTATTTCTGGTGGATTTCTAGGGCAGGAGCTTTAGTCCTCCCCTGCCTGGCAGGGCTATCTGCTGGAAGCTGAAGCTGATTCATTGCCAATGGGAGTTTAAGCCAGGGGTGACAAATACATGGTATGTGGGCTACTAGTGCCCCTTTCTGTGTCCCTCGCAGTCATGGCTAATTGGATGATTCGCAGCGCATATTCACACAGTACTCAGCCCTCAGTACACTGCTCTAGGCAGCCACTTACAGCTGATTGAAGTTTGTGCTTTAAATGAAACCTGTTTGCTCTCCCTGGTTTAAGCCCTTATGTGGGAGGTCAGGTCAGCCTGCTTTAAGCCATAGCTTGGACTGTCAGCCAAATGGGCCTGACAGCCTTTGAGGAGTTCCCAGTTTTTTCTCTTTGGAGGTCACAGACCAGTCTTGTCCTTTCCCATGAAACTGGAGAGAATCTTCCTTTTTCACTGAGTGGGCTCCTCATGACCACATTCATACTTACTACCCTAGGAGCCACGATGCCCCCCAGCTTCCCTGTGTTTGTAAAGAGATCTTGATTTTGATAGCAGTCAGCACTGATCCCTCATTACCTGGGAGAGTCTGTACTCTTTCTAGATCTTCCTGGATATTGGAAGAGACTTTTGAGATCACTTAATTGAAAGATGGCAAAGCAACAGCCCATGCTGAGTGAAGTCCACCATTATGCTTTATTTAATCCTCATAGTGTGTGAAACAATTTTGAGTTGGTTGCCAACATTTAAAAATCCAGAATGCTAGCTTATTTTAGAAAAATTAGCAGGCCTAGGAATATTCTGGGCCTGTGTTCCCCTAGCGCACTATAGTTGGCTATAGTGCCCATGCAGTTCACTTCAGTCATTGATTTATTTACATTGCTAGGTCCTTGTACCCACTTACTCTAGTTTCCCTTCCCCCTTGCTCTACCCCATCATACTAATTGGTGAACCTAGGGCACCTGCTGAGTAGGATCAGGCTGTAAGCTGCAGTCTAACTAGGCAGCCACAGGGGCTACGTGACTTGTCCAAAGTAACACAGATGATTAGTGGCAGGAGTGGAACTAGAATTCTGGTCTGCTCACTCCTGCCTTAATGTTCTTTCCACTCTCCCGTACTATCATCTTAGGAGTTTGGTTGACTGGCAGACATTGAAGAGGCTATAAGACATGATTAAGAAAAAGGATTGGAGAAAAGGGATCTGAGCTTAGACCCTAACTCTGCCACTTGCTAGTTGTATAACCTTAAGTGAATCTTCATAGATGTTCAGTTTCCCTTTAGGTAATTCAAGATATAGTGCAGTCATACCTTGTCAGATAATTATATTTTAAGGGTGAAAATCACTTTAGCCAAAAATCACAGTCAACTTGAAAATCGTTTGGCAAGGAGCCATTTCAGAAACCAACATACTGCCTTTAAATAAATAAGCTAATCAACACAGCCAGGCTTTGTTGTTCGAACACGAGATGAGAATTGGCTTGTGTTAAGGACTGTGCAGTATGAAAGACACTTTACTCACACTCAGTGGAAAGAGAAGCACGAAGGAATCAAGATCAACCTGGAGACTGGCAAAATCCTAGGCGCCATCACCACATGCTTATTCTTGAACAGACAGTGAATGGAACTGGCTGCATTATCTAAATTATGCTCTTTCTCTCTTTCTGGTCTTTGTAGTGGAGGTTACAGGTCAGTGAAATGCAGCTCAACACCTAACAAGACTCCAGTTGCTGCCTGGAGGATTCAGTGAGATTATGAATGTGGAACACAGCACTGTGCCTGGCACCCTGTGGTCACTCAGTAAAGGGGTTCTCTTAGAAATTGCTGGTCCTAATGAGGCTCAATATTTGGTCATCTCAGAACTGAAGAATGCCCCTGTCCATTTTCCCTTGTTCACTTCTGTGTGAAGTCACCCTGCTATTGGCCGACTGTTGGCCTCCCTCTCCCCGCAGTAGTCTGCTATCCATATTTCAGTCTAACTTCCTTAGACTGGAAAAGGTTATGGTGATATATGGCCCCCGGGGCTTTCCAATTTCTCTTTGAAACAAACCTTTGGGACTTTCAAGTTTTCCCAGAAGAAAATACCTGTTGTCTGAGACTCTAAGCTTTGGGCCTGGTGTGACTGCTAATTGCCTGCTTTGTTGTGGTGTCCTCTTTATGCAGGAATGCAGATGTCTTTGCTTGCTTATTGACTGTCTGTCTCACTAGACTGTAATTTTCTTGAAGGTAGGGACTGTCAGTCCCAGCTACTGTTAGACCTGTAGTTTCCAAACAGGGTATAGTAGGTACTCTAGAAATGATTAGTGAATTACTCCTTGTGTGAGAAGGTGAGAGAAATGTGTTTGAATTCATGCATCAGTAAGGTTATGGTTAAAGAAATTTCATGAAAGGTGAGTTCTTTAATCTCAATTATGGATCATCTGTATCACATTGGGTTTTTGATATACCAGATTATCATTTTAATAAATAGTAATAAAACTTTTTAATGGCCCTGCTATTTATCAGATACTGGGTTGAGCACCATGGATACAGAAATGAGTAACATACAATACTGGTCCTAGTAATATAGTCTAATGGGGCTGTCAGATGTAGTCACAGGTTACTACAATAGTGTAGGATAATACCTATATTAGAGGGATGTACCAGTTGCTTTGGGAATATAAGATCAGGGAGGCAATTCTTGGAGGACAGGACATGACAAGGGGGTGACATTTGGAACCCAACTTGAGGGAAGGTTGGACTTTGGACATGTATAGGAGGAGGAAGTCTACACTGGGGCCAGATCATGGAGGTATGGGATGCCAGGCTAAGGTGTTCAGGCATGACCTAGAGGATTGAATACAGTGCTGTCTTCCTCCAAAGTGTACTAGCTACTGGCTTGGGTGCCACATTGTGGTCTCACTTCCTGCCTATGGGAAAGGGGCATCTCTTAGCTCCTCTACCCCATGCAAAGGTGGTGGAAGGTATGGCAGAAATGGGGAATAGAAGCTTCTGCCTCCTCTTGCTCACACTCTGTCCTTTGTCTTTCTGTCTTCAGAGTCTTGGGGAGCAGTCCCTTTTCTAGGAGCCTCTTGAAGGACTTGCCATAAATGCAGGAAGACATTGGATGAGGGTAACGTAGCTGAAGTGAGACGTCTTGTCTAGACAATGGCTGTGGCTCTGGAATCCCGAGCCCAGGGGTCTCCCCGACCAGAGCCTGAAGAACTCCTGATTGTGAAACTGGAAGAGGACTCATGGGGAGCAGAATCCAAACCCCGGGAGAAGGAACATGATCCTGTCCCTGGCCCTGAGGCCTCCCGCCAGCGCTTTAGGCAATTCCAATACAGGGATGCAGCTGGGCCCCATGAGGCCTTCAGCCAGCTCTGGGCTCTCTGCTGTCGTTGGCTGAGGCCAGAGGTCCACCTCAAAGAGCAGATCCTGGAGCTGCTGGTGCTGGAGCAGTTCCTGACCATCTTGCCCAGGGAGGTCCAGACCTGGGTGCAGGCACGCTACCCTGAGAGTGGTGAGGAGGCTGTGGCCCTGGTGGAAGATTGGCACCGAGAGATCAGGACTACAGGACAGCCGGTGAGGCAAACAGTCTTCTTCAAGGAGTGGGCCAGGCAAGGCAATAGGGCTGTGACTAGGTTAATAATTGCCAAATTCACAATAAAAATAATAATAGTTATTGAGAACTGACATTTATCGACCATTTATATCAGGCAGTGTTCTAAGTGCTTTACATGTATTAATCCACTTAGTCCTGTTAATAATTTAATGAGATAGGTACTGTCATTCTAATTTTACCAGTGAGAAAACAGAGACAGAGAAAAGATAGGTAAATTGCTCAGGGTCTCAACAGCTGCTAGGTGGTAGTCAAGATTTGAATTCAGGCATTCTTACTCTAAAGCTTGTATGCCTAACCACTACTCTAAACTGCCTCCCACTACCATATTCACAATATGACTTACTTATATTGTGTTTTATACCTAACATCTTTCTATATATGTGATCTCTCTGAGTACTTATAACAGTAATATAAGTAGACAGGAATAGTATTACTATCCCATTTTTATAGATTAAACTAAGGGCCAAAAAGTTGGCCAAGCATAGTGGCTCATGCCTGTAATCCCAGCACTTTGGGAGGCTGAGGCAGGCAGATTGCTTGAGCTCAGGAGTTTAAGACCAGCCTGGGCAACATGGTGAAACCCCGTCTCTACAAACAATACAAATGAAACAAAACAAAATGTTAAGTGGCTCACAAAGGTCATTAGTGAGTACACCAGAGCCTAAAGTCAAATCCTTAAGTTCCCAGGTCATTGTTAGATGCCTCCTCTGCAAACCATGGGAATTAAAATACCTCTGAGCCATGAGGCTCAGATGAGATATTATTTGATGTTTTGTGAGCACTCACTGTGTGTCAGACACTGGTCTAAGTTTTTTTTTTTTTGATATGGAGTCTTGCTCTGTCACCCAGGCTGGAGTGCAGTGGTATGATCTCAGCTCACTGCAACTGCCTCCTGGTTTAAGTGATTCTCCTGCCTCAGCCTCCTGAGTAACTGGGATTACAGGCGTATGCCACCATGCCCAGCTAGTTTGTGTATTTTTAGTAGAGACAGGGTTTCACCATGTTGGTCAGGTTGTTCTCAAATTTCTGACCTTGCGATCCACCCACCTTGGCCTCCAAAAGTGCTGGGATTACAGGCGTGAGCCACCACACCCGGCCAGCTTTTTATATATATCCCTCATCTAAATAAACACAGCAATCCAGTAAGGTAGGTGCCATTATCATTGTTATTTGTCAAATGAGTAAACAGAGATAGAGAAGTAAGTAACTTGTCTAACTTTATATAACTATGAGATAGAGCTGAGGTAAGGGAAATGAAAGTATGGATTTAACATTCGTAATTTCAACAATTTGCTAGTGACCCTAGAAGGCCCATGATATAATGCATAAATTTGCTGTGACACACATTTTGAATCCTGCTTTGAAGCTGGTGTATATAGAACAGATCCTTTAGCTGGATCCAGAACCTTCATCTAAACATAACTGCTGTTCTCCATTTGTTATAGTTAGTAATTCTTCTTATATTATACTTACATTTTGCTGGGAGACATTATAGGTTAGGGAACACATCCCTAGCAAATGGCAGCGGTTTTCTGTATACTTAAACTGTAAAGTTCTATACAGTGTGAGATTGTGGGAGCCAAGGTTTAAGATCTGTGGCTTTGCTCTTTGTGTTTTTGTTTTTTTGAGATGGAGGGTCTTGCTTTGTTGCCCAGGCTGGAGTGCAACAGCATGGTCTTGGCTCACTGCAGCCTCCGCCTCCTGGGTTCAAGTGATTCTCCCGTCTCAGCCTCCCCAGTAGCTGGGATTACAGGTGCCCACCAGGACGCCCAGCTAATTTTTGTATTTTTTTTAGTAGAGATGGAGTTTCACCCTGCTGGCCAGGCTGATCTTGAACTCCTGAACTCGTGATCTGCCTGCTTCGGCCTCCCAAAGTGCTGGGATTATAGGCATGAGCTGCCGCAACCAGCCTGCATTTTGGATTTCTTTATAAACTGACTGAAGATACAAGGAGAATAATATATAATGTTACATAAGTAAGTATAAGAGAGAGTGCCTTATTTAAATATACCACCCCACCCCCCCATATTGTTTCTTTTAAAGAAACCAGCTGTTTGTCTTAAGTGGCAGTGAAGAAACAAATGGAAATTTTAGGGCTTCAGAGTTGGAAGATGAAGAACTTGAGACCCAGAGATGAAAATTGATTTAAATCAAGGTCTTTAAGATTCTTCATCTGTAAAATGAGAGGGTTGGACTAGACCAAAGGTTCTCAAATTATGCCCCTGTGAGCTGACCAAAAGTTGAACTGCTTCTAAAGTTGAGAAAAAAATAAGGTAATGGAATCTTCTCTGTTACGTATTTTTCTTTTTACTGTGACCTTTTTTTGTTCTTTATTTTTTAACTTTCCTACCTGCTTCTGAGTGCTCACAAATTTCAAAACAAATGGACAAGTAGCAGAGGAGCTTGTTTTTTTTTTCAGGTACAAATGTAGCTTGTGATTTTACATTGTAAGATACATAACTTAGTTGCATTCTTTGCAGGTAAAATTTTTCAAGTCTTAATAATGGAATGAAATATAGTTATAATATTCCTCAAAGTGAACCACCACCTGAAAAAGGTTGGTGTCTACAGGACTAAATGGCCCCTAAGATAGTTTCCTAAAAAGGATCTTTCAGCTCTGCTATTTTGTGATTTTTACCTTGTTTCTTCTGTCGGCACCATCTTGTCAAATCCCCTCTCCGTCAGGTGTTCCCTCTCCATCAGGTGCACAGGCATTTTTAAAAAACAGGCTTTATTTTTTAGAGCAGTTTCAGGCTCACAGCAAAACTGAGCAGAAGGTACAGAGAGTTCCCATCCCTCTGCAACAAGCCTCCCTAACTAAACATCCCTGCACCAGAGCAATAAGTTTATTACCACTGATGAACCTACAGTGGAACATCATTATCACTCAAAGTAGCAGTTTATGTTAGGGCTCTTAATGTTATTCATTCTGTAGGTTTTGACAATCTATAACATTAAGGGCCTTATTATAAACTGTATCTACCATTATAGTGACATAGTAACATGTATCCACCATTACAGTGACATACGGAGTAGTTTCACTGCTGTAAAAACCCTCTGTGTTCTACCTGTTTATTCCTCTTTCCTCTAACCCCTGGCAACCACCGATCTCTTTCCTGTCTCCATAGTTTTGCCTTTTAAAAGATATTATATAGTTGGAATCATACAGTATATAGCCTTTTCAGATTGGCTTCTTTTGCTTAGTAGTTTACAGTTAAGTTTCCTCCATATTTTTCATGGCTTGCTAGCTCATTTCTCTTTAATGCTTATTAAAGAGATGTACCATTGTGTGGATGTACCACATTGTGTGGATGTACCACAGTTTATTTATCTACTGACCTACTGAGGGACATCTTGGTTGCATCTTAGTTTTGGCAGTTATGTATGAAGCTACTATAAATATTCATATGCAGGTTTTTGTGTGGATATAGTTTTCAGTTCATTTGGGTAAATACCAAGGGACATGATTGCTGGATCGTATGGTAAGAGTATGTTTACCTTTGTAAGAAATTGCCAAACTGTCGTCCAAAGTGGCTGTACCATTTTGCATTTTTATTAGCAATGAATGGGAATTCTTGTTGCTCCACATCCTTGCCAGCATTTGGTGTTTTGGATTTTTGTATTATATTGTTGTTAGAATTTGCAATTCACTAATAACCTACCATGTTATACATCTTTTCATATGTTTACTTGCCATCTGTATATTTTCTTTGGTGAGGTAACTGTTCAAGTCTTGCCCATTTTTAAATTGGGTTGTTTGTTTTCTTACTGTTGAGTTTTAAGAGTTCTTTGTATATTTGAGATAACAGTCCTTTATCAGATGTGTCTTTTGCAAATATTTTCTCCCAGTCTGTGGCTTGTCTCATTCTCTTGACAGTATCTTTCATAGAGCAGAGTTTTTAATTTTAATGAAGGCCAGCTTATCAATTATTTCTTTCATGGATTGTGCCTTTGGTTTTGTATCTAAAAAGTCATTATACCTAACATATCAGTTTTCTCCTATATTTTAGGAATTTTATAGTTTTTCGTTTAAGATTAAGTTCTGTGATCCATTTTGAGTTGATTTTTGTGAAGGATATAAGCTTTCTTTTGCCATGTGGATATACAGTTTTTATATCATTTGTTGAAAATATTATCTTTGCTTCACTGTATTACCTTTGTTCCTTTATCAAAGTTCAGTCACCTATCTTTATGTGGGACCATTTCTGGGGTCTCTGTTCTGTTCCTTTGATCTCTTTATTCTTTTGCCAACACCACACTGTCTTGATTACTATAGCTTTGTGGTAAATCTTGAAGTCAGGTAGTGTCAGTCCTTTGATTTTTTTTTCCTTCTTTAACATTGAGTTGGTTATTCTAGGTCTTTTGCTTCTTCGTATAAACTGTACATGGCCAGGTGCAGTGGCTCACGCCTGTAATCCCAGCGTTTTGAGAGTATGAAGCGGGCGGATTGCTTGAGCCCAGGAGTTCAAGAACAGCTTGGGCAACATGATGAAACGCCATTGCTGTTGGAAAAAAAAAAGAAAAAAGAAAAACAAATGAACAAAAAAGACTTTACAGTCAGTTTGTTGATAGTCACAAGACAAATTTCAGTGATTTTTGGTTGGGTGTGGAATCTGTAGATCAAATTGGGAAAAGTGGACATCTTGATAGCAGTGAGCCTTTCTGTCTGTGAACATGGAATATTGTTCCCTTCATTTAGTTCTTCTTTGATGTCTTTCTTTAGTAGTTTTCCCCATGTAAATCTTCTATTTTTTTTTAGATTTATGCCTAAATATTTCATTTTTCTGGATGAGAATGTAAATCCTATTATGACTTTAATTTCAAATTCTACTTGTTCATTGTTGGTATACGGGAAGGTGATTGACTTTAGCGTATTTGCATATTGTACCCGGCAAACTTGCTATAACTGCCTATTAGTTCCCAGAGTTTTTTTTTTTTTTTTTTTTTTTTCTGAGACAAA